TTATCAGCAAAGGAAGTACAATACGTAACCATATTATTACTATCGCTACACACATAGTTTACACCATAGTCTACACCATAGTCCATACCATAGTCTACACCATAGTCCATACCATAGTCTACACCATAGTCTACACTATAGTTCACACCATTAGATGTTTGTATTACACATGCGCGAATACATTGGACCCCACGATGCACGCAACGTACATAAATAAATTGGGGTCAAATAGACCCCACGATGCACGAAACGCTTATAAATAAATTGGGGTCACATGAACCCCACGATGCACGAAACGTGATTTTTTAACGGTGCACAGTAAGGGTTAAAAGTTAATATGAAAGCTTGGGGATCATCCAGCTCTTAGCAACTAATGTATTTCTTATGAACAATGAGTTCAAATTGTAGTATATCAAATTGTTCATAATTAAATAAAGGAGAAACATTTATTATTTGCATGTTTGATTTTCACTTAAAACATTAAAAATTGACATAGAACAAGCAACTACCTGGTTATTACAGTGTAAAATTAAAATATTGTAAATTTGACATATTATATTTTTTCTTTAATTAATTAAGAACAATTTGACATAGTGATTGTTAAAATTGAACAAGTACATTTTATATGGCGAGCAGTTAAGATTTTGTAAATTTGAACTCTCTGAGCAAAATACTCCTATTCAATTGTTTATTACAAAAATCCTGATATAGGTATCGAGTAATATTTTATTCTAAACAATTTAATATATAAATTGTAAAATTTGGTCCAGTACTTTTTGAGTTATAACTACTACTCATTGTCCATAAGAAATACATTAGTTGCTAAGAGCTGGATGACCCCCAAGCTTTCATCCCCAATTTTTAAATTCAGAATCTATTAACCACAATTCAGTATGAGGAGTGTGGTTTATAGGATCTCGGGCTACCCATTCACTTTCCTCTCCTTCACCCTAACAAATTTACCATTAGATTACAGTTTAACTCAATTGCTATACTTAAACATAGATAATGTTAAGTCTATGGCAATGCTAATTTTATAGTTGGGTAATGTCCTTTAGACAATGTTGTTCCAATATCTTTCCAATTCCAATGCCATACATACAAAATGGCATAAACTAAAAATAAATTAATCAAGGAATTTGGGAATATGACCTGGCAACACTAATAATAGTACATGTATGTTATAACATTTAAAGGATTTAGTTAAATAACAGATTACTTAATGTGAATTGATATGAATTAAAACATATGTTATTTAGTCAGATATCCTTATAAATTCTAAACTTAATATCAAATGAATAAAAAATATACAAATTATATGTGTTTTGGATACAAGTCTATAATATGATAATCGACTTATCAAAACCTTATTTCCTTTGTCTTAACTAAATATCTAAATGAATTATTATCTCATTTAATTTACTTTAACTTTTAGAGTAATAAATAAGGTTTAGATTATTCGGGAATAAAACTAATTAATAAGATTGAAACTACAAATAATAATATTACATGTCACTACAACACAGTTAGAAAGTACACGTACACAGGTAATAATTTAAACATTTTAAATATATTTTGCGTAAAATCTTATTTATTAAATATTCTGAATTTTAAATGCATAAGTTTGAAGTTCCTTGTTTTTAACCTCTGTTCTGACTAATCCAGTCCAACAATGAAACCACGTTTGTGTAAACACCGGGATGTGTGGCCAAAGCGCAACTTCTTCCCCACGAAACCACGCCATACAACACACCGTTCACTGTGAGGGGTCCACCAGAATCGCCCTGGTTATTTGTAAAAGTAAAATAATGAATTATACAATTTTGTATTGATCATCTTGATCATTTTGATAAATGCTCCATGGGATCAATTGAATATAAAATGAAGCATGGTATATGATATACCTGACAGGCATCTTTGCCGCCCCCGTTCACGGCTGCGCAAATCATGCGTTCGGTGATTGACCCTGCGCCGTAATTGGTGTTGCAGGTGGTTCGGGCAACAATGTTGACGTTGACGCGTTGCAACGCTGCGGGCAAAGTGCTGGCACCGGCGCGAGTAGTACCCCAACCCGCGACCAACACTTCGGCGCCATTCGCGAGTTCAGCGGTGGGCAGAGTTACGGCCTTAACGTTAGTTCCGTCCACATTGAGAGATGACGCGAGTTTAAGGATCGCAATGTCGTAATCAATTGTTCCGGAATTGTATTGTTTATGCGCTCGGATCTCCTTCACGGCCACCTGTTGGCCGCCAGACGCGTGACGTAACGAACCAACGCGTGCTTTCATGTTAGACGCCGATGAACTGACAGTGCATTCAGTTATTATTAGTTCAATCATGACTACAATTTTAGCACTTTATACGACACGACATACCCGGCAACACAATGTGCGGCTGTAATGATGGTGTCTTTGTCGAGAACGGATGCGCCACAGAAGTGGGACGATGTGGACAGGGATACGATGTGTGGCGCCTCTCCCGCTGCGGCCGGCGTCCCCCCGACGATATAGGAGTCCGTTTGCCTGTTATACCAATTGCCAGTTCGTAACGCTTCGGGTACGGGTAGACCACCGTTTCGCACATACACCTCATACGGCACCGGTAAGGGTTCGGCGCCACACATCACACCCATTGCCAGACATACTACTAAGAGTTGACGCATTCTTCTGCTTCTCTAATAGTATTTAATTACTTCAATACTAAAAGACTAAACTTTTTTCTCTTCAAAAGTGTTTATTTCTGTTTCTCTGTTTCTCACTATTTATATAGTTTTGAAAAACGAATACATGTTTACGAAATCGACAATTAATGCATCATTTGTATTAAGAAAGGAAGAGAAAGTGATATATTGTGTACAAATCATATGATTTTAGTTCATTTAATCACTAATTTATAAATCACTTTATTATGAATAGATGACATTATTACTAAAAACAATAAACTATACATCAATAAATGTTTTCAGATATTGGAGTAGTAAAACACTTATCAAATTTTTTAATCTTACATTTTATATGAAATATACCTTAAAACTATAATATAAAAATAACAATGATTTATAACCAATCGCTTATTTTTATATTGTTATAATATACAGTATTACAATTTAGAATCTATCTTGATTTAGCTTTATTATTTTATGTTATAGATACATTATTGCTAAATAACATGGGTTACAGCTAGGGTTGCCAAATGTCCACTATTCAAGTGAACAGTTCACTATTTCAAGAACCTGTCCACTTAGAATTGGAAAGCGAATAGTAGACATAGAAATGTTTTCTTTTTTGACAAATGATTAAATTTTTTTAATATAATGCAAATTATTTAGTAAATTTAGACAAATGATTTATTATTTTGAAATTTAGCAATAAAATTATCAAATATTTTTAAAAAAGTAACTATCACTATTAAACAATAATTTGATGTGCATTCATAAGAAAATAGTGGATTCTAATAATCAATTCTATGAATATTTTATCTAAAACATAAATTCTAAATTTCAATTCTACAAACGAATGATAAACTTCCGATAAATAAAGTATTATGAATAGTATTGAAATAAATTGTCTTTAGATAATATTAGTTAATTTAAATTAAATTACAAAATTAGTGATTTATGTAGTGAATATATGCAATTTAGGTGTCTCTAAAATAGAGTAGTTGAAAATTAAGCCTAAATGATTATCGAAACCCCTAAACACTCTCTAAATTGATGGCTAAATTTATCCCTAAACGTTCCCTTTCATCACTAACATCTCTAATCATGGTTATCTTGTTTATTACATTGTGTATATGTATCCATAATTTGGAATTCGAAATGATTTTTAACAGCAAAGTTATGGTCTAAATAATAATGAAAGAAATACTGTAAACGGTGTCCCAATGATTTTGTACTATTGTGTATTTACATAAGAAAACATTGAGTTAGTACTTTATTATAAACACGTGTAGATCAGGCATCTATAATCCAATTTTAATAAACTCGGTCATTCTTAGACATTTATAAATTACACTTTACCTCCGGGAACTAATAATACAATTTCACTAATGTTCTTGCCTATTTCTATGACAATATTTAAACTAAATGTATTATCTAAGAAATGACGGTCAAGACAACGGATTTCTTCATTTAAAAATTTAAATAAATATCAGAATTTTCAAAATATTCTTAATTTATAATAAAAACATATTAATCACTATGGTGTAGACTATTGTATGGACTATAGTGTAGACTATTGTGTAGACTATGGTATGGACTATGGTGTAGACTATGGTATGGACTATGGTGTAGACTATGGTATGGACTATGGTGTAGACTATGGTATGGACTATGGTGTATATTATTGTGTTGACTATGGTGTGGTACAAACAATTCAAACTATATTTAAATAATTAAATTTTATTCATTGTCTAAATAATTTTTATCAGCAAAGGAAGTACAATACGTAACCATATTATTACTATCGCTACACACATATTTATTACAATATTCACATTGTTGTTTACACTTTTTATCGGCTTTTCTTGGACACAAATAGCAACGTTTTCGAGAACCAGATGCCTGAGATATTGTCGGTTCGATAGATCCAGAATCGTAAGGCTTTGTGATATTTGTTATTATTTTACGTAGATCACGGCTTATGGTCTTGACATCCAATCGGGAAATCATTTCGGGAAAAGCCAAGCGTTCTCCCAATGTAGGCAAAAATTCCCGGCGTTTATATGATTGAATTGGTTTAGGAGTACAATGTGTATTGTGGTGTCTAAATATGATGTAACTATTATTGGCCATTATATCGAGAATGCCAAAAAAGGCAGCGGTTGGCCAACGATTGGTACGCCTGCCCGATGAATATGTTGAACATAATTGATCCATTGTGTCAATAGATTGGTGGACAAGTGTTAGAGTTAATGTCAATCTAGACTATCAGTTTGTATGTGTCAACCGATAGTGTCAACTGTCGGGGCCGTTGACTGACGGACAACCGGATCGGGAACTGAACTGTATCACCGATCGGTGTGACAGTCAGTTCCGGTGTTGGCCAGAGTGAGTGAGTCGGGGATCAAGCGTTCAGTGATAAGACTCAACGACTGAACAGTTCAGTTCGTCGTTAGTCTTAGACCTGATTTACCACCGATTAGAGGTCTGAAATGATCACTCAGTCTCTTGTAATGACTGAATGATAGATAACCACAAGTAAATCAAAACTAATTTGGTTGTATTGAACTGAATTGAGATTACATTCAATTAGTGAATGGAGTCTAAAATACTGTGCGACTGATCGCTAAGAGTTTCAAACAAAGACTAACTATAGCGACAGTCATTAGGACACAAGCGCATGGCCACAGCTATTGCGACACTCAATAGTACACTAAAACATGGCCTTTATTATAGTTTTACTCATTAGAACACAAACACTACAGCTATTTTTATGACTGGACCCCACTATGCACACAACGTACACAATAAAAATCTATACCCAAATAAACATGCGCGCAATACATATATATTGCTTGTTTAGCTATTACTGTGCACTACAGCTATTGGGGTATAATGGACCCCACGGTGCACACAACGTACACAATAAAAATCTATACCCAAATAAACATGCGCCTTTTACATCTATATTGCTTGTTTAGCTATAACTGTGCACTACAGCTATTGGGGTCCAATGTACCCCACGGTGCACGAAACGTTCATAAAATGATTAGTGCTGTTTATGCTAGTAACTTAAACTCACGTATCGTGCACCGTGGGGTCATTTTTAACTAAATCGTGTTTTAATCATACTTACAATTAACTAATCTTTATACA